ACAAAAGGAAACCGCCTGCCAGGACAATTCCCCAACTTTCAGACACACCATGTCTGAAACCAGGTATTGGGTACAAGTAGATGACACAACTCTTGGTGCCCACGTCATCTTCCTTGCTTACCCCTTTGCGGGACCATTTCCATGCCATTTGCGACCCCACCTGACCCGAAGCATAGCGAGTTGGTTGACAAAACTGCCGAGAAGGGTTCCCAAGGGGACTTGGACCCAGGGGGGGTCCACCTGGGTTTCTCATGGGACCTGGCGGAAGGGACCTGGGGGAAGGGGCCTTATTGAGCGCTGATGTGGGCTCCCCAAATCTCCCCAGCCCCCATGAGTTTAAGTCGACCTTGTGGTAGCCACAAAATGGAACACTGACCATCCTAAGGTTGCCGTCAACCAAAAGAAACAGAAGCCAGAGGTGTGTTGGGAGCCGCCACAAAAATATGGTGAAGGACAACCCAAGGGAAACCGGACCTGCTGTATCTTTGGGGGGGCTTTTGTGTAGACGGGACTGTTCTGTGTGGCGGTCTCACCACGAAGCTTTGACCCTTGGCTTTGGCGCAACTAAAGGGCCAACAAACCCCCTGTGGGCAACCCGCCATCCGCTTTTTGTTGGATACCCGGTGGATCCCCAGTGACCTCGACAGTAACCCTTCGCCATTTTCGTGTTGGTCTTCAAGGGACGGCAACCCCTTGGTTGAAAAACAAACACCAGGGAGATGGAATCACTAGAAAGGGAAACCATACCGAGGCTCGGCCTTTTTGGGTAACCAAGGAGCCCCCCAAAAAAAAACGGGGGAGGGGGGAACAAAAACGCCATGAAGTGGATAGAGTTCTCTCGGCTCCTCGTGCACGCCGTGGGAGCTCACGTAGATGCCGTCCAGGAACTTTCGGATATCCTTCTTCTTGCAGAGGCAGGACCTTCGATCGCGATCGCAGAAGGGTCACTTCTCCTGTACACTGGCAGAGGGGTCATGTGGTCCAAGGTTTGCCCAGTGGCCCTGGGAGGAATAACAGGAACTCGTTTTTGGGGGCTCCTCCTGCCGGTTCCCCAATGAATAGCATCCAGCCATGGGGTCTAGTGTTCTTTCAAGGGTCAGCGTTCTCCACTGAGGGTCCGGGTAACTAGATTGCCAGGCTTCCAACTAGGTCTCCCACCTCCAGCCCCCCCTGGTTTCAAATTTTCTCCTACTCAACTAACCATGGAACCCAGAAAAGGAAGTCCCCCAAAGAAGATTCCTCCAAACACCGAGTTTTTTTTGGTGCTGTTCTTTTCGCTCCAGCTCCTTCTTTTCTCCTGGCGCCTTCCTTTTTTTTCTCTCGCCCAGCTGGGCCTTTGATCCATCCCACGGATCCCACGGATCCCAGGGCACGGATCCCACGGATCCCACGGATCCCACGGAGTCCGAGGCGCTGGTGGATCAGCGCGGTGGAGCGGCCCGCCAGCTCGATGTCGGTGCCGCTCACGATGATCTCGTCCTCGGTGGCGCGCCGGCGAGCGAGCGAGCGAGCGGTTCTTTCGAAGGGAGGGAGGCTGTTGGTGGAACCTCCTCACTTCTTTTCTCGTCAAGTCGTGAATTTGTTGTTGAGGGTACCAACCTAAGCGAGCGAGCGCGTGCGAGCGGTTGCGAGCGCACTTCCGATCGAGCAGATTGGCCAGAAAGAGTCTGAAACTTGTTGTTTACCACTCAAATGGCCTTCCCGAAACATAGTTTGAGAAAAGGTCCCAACCATGTACCCCTGGATAGGTGCCCCTTCAACATGCCAGTGAAGCTCAAGAATGGGACATAACGAGTATAGAGCCATGATTCCCAACGGCATACCAGTGGTTCCTGCCTGGATCTGAGAAAAGGATTCTCCAATACTTCTCTCGGGATATTTAGCTAACATCATTCTTCCCAAGAGACCCATTCAAAGCACCTGCAACCCAAGGTGGAAAGAGCCCGTCCGAGCCAGGTGGAACCAAAACCTGCCGGCGCGCAATCCATCCCAGGAACCAAGGACTCCAAAATGCAGAACCCTGCAGGTGGACAAAATCAACTTCGCACCAGTTGGGATAGATGATTCTTTTGTGCCCGCCAATTCCAGCTGCTGCCGATCGCTGTGGATTTTGTCCACCGACAAAAAGGTTCCAAAAAAGCGTTCACATGTGGGTGTGTCTCTTCTTGAGTTCGGGATAGTACGGGCAAAAACGGAACCTATCTTTCTAAAATTGGAGTCCAATATTCCGAGCCACACTAAACAAGAGCAACTTCTCTCCACAAACCAAGGATCCAGAAGCATCAGGAGCCATAAGGGCAACTAACAAAGCTGTGATTCCGAGACCAAGCGGCTCGGTTCACATAGCAGAAATCATTCAACATGGTTTCCCCAAAAGATACGAGCCTCAACAAAAGAACGCCACGTGAGCCTCTTAGACGACGGGACGGCACCAAACATTTGCTTAAGCCCCCTGGCAAAAAAATAAAACAATATGTGTCCGGTGGTGATAGATTCCCTTTAAAACCAACAGGGGAAATTAAAATACACACGCAGGTGTCCTTTTAGGGGAAATAGATGGATATCCCTGGTAGATGATCTTGGCAAAACCAGGACGCCATCCACTTTTCGACCAAAACAACCAAAAAGGACACCTATGAACAGATCCCCTGCTAAAAGTTTAACTTTTAGTGGGTGAAATTCCGAAATCCAACCACTAAAACAATAAAAGGCTCTAAAAAGCTAAGTTGAACCGGACGGCTGGGGTTGCCACCAAGTTAAGCCCAAACTTGAAGGTTTGCTTAAGCAGAAAAACAAATATCCAGCATTTATGGACTCCCTGTTACCAGCAGGGGAAAATCCAACACATTCTTAAGCGAACGGAACGAGAGGTCTCGTCTCGCGCCTTGGTGTTGCTGCTCTTCTCTACGGCAATGCCTGGCAACATGTGCACCTCAGCGCCGACAACTCCGCGCGCGTTTTTCCCGGTGCTTGGAGTCTTCACAGCCGGTGTGGCGGTAAAAAGCTTTCTTTGCAGACCCATTCCTAAAAAATGAGCAGAACAAAAAACAAACATATATATATATAACATATATAAACAACTCAGACCCATTCAAAAAAAAAGCAGAACAAAACAAATATATATATATATATATAAACAACCTGCCAAGAACAGTGACTGATTGGTTCTGCTTGGATGCTTGGATTGCTTCTGGTTTGGCTGTTGGAAAACCGGTGACTTTCGAAAGCGAAATGGTGAAAAGGTGGGAGGGAAACAAGGAGGTTTCTTGGACACTGGCATGTGTTGACATGAAAGTCTTCATTTCATGTGTCCAGCTTGCAACCTGCCATTCCCATGTTTGCCCATTTTGGGCCAGCCAGGTTGATGATCACGTGATTGGAGTCAGTTTCCCATGGGTGTTTGTCACAATAGGACCCCTCAAATGGCTCCTTTTTGGCTTCCCTTTAAACCAACCCAAAAAGGTAGCCTCGCAACCAACCTGCGATTCAAAAGATCTACGCATCCAAAGAATTCAGCCAGCCGCTTGCTCTGCAGTCGCCAGGGGGCAAAACGTCCAAGGGTGGTACGACCTGGGCTTCCTCGTTGGTTGTGGCTGCAAATGTGTGTGTGTGTGTGTCGGCTGTGTTCAGCGTCAAATGTGTTTGTTCATAGGTTTGGAATCTTGATTATATAGTTGTTGCTGGGGCGTGCTATCAGACACTCCGTGTCTTTCCAGCAAGTATCGGGGGCAGTACGGATTTCTTGACAACCCACTTGTCACTCCCCCAAGTGATGGCTCTGCATCTCTTTTCCTAAACTTTTCGCAGGCCTCCAAAAGAAATCAAAGTGCACTAGGGTCCTTGTCTTCGGGTGGTTTCTATCGGGGTGACCTCTCTATTCATGGACATATGTTGGCAATATTTGGGATCAATCGGAAAAATAGAAATTACTCAGCATTGGGCCGCCCAGTGGGGAGAATATCCACTTTGGGGACCTCTTTGATTGGCACAGGTTCGCATGAAATCCGAAGTCGACCTTAACTAAGCGACAGAGGGGGGCACTCAGTAGACACGGGAAACAGGGCACCCCTGTTGTTGGTTTTTGATTGTCAAAAAAAAAAAACTGAATGCTTCCCCAATACGAATCCAAATGGATGCCCTAGACTTAAATCGGACGTCGCTCCTGTTTGATTGCTTTCCGAGGCACAGTTCGCACCACCTTCTCTCCCAAGAAGTTTCGAATCTCGATGGTCTGCCGGGTTGAAACGCGCCGAAGCGGACCCCACCCACCACCCCACCCCACCCATCATCCCACCCCACCCACCACCCCACCCCACCCCAGCCCCTTCCACCCCAACTCCACCACCCTCTTCAACACACCCCAACTGCACCAGCGACTCAATTCCACCCCAGCCCCCCTGCCAAGGTACCAGCCCCACCTATGCACCCAACAAACAATCTCCAACTCCACAACTCCACCCCCATTCCACCACAACCCCCACGCCCAGGCACTCCACCCCAGCTCCACCTTCTCCAACACACCCTGGGTCTCCACCTCAACCCACCCAACCCCAAGTCAACCCCACCACCTCCCAACTCAATCCCTATTCCACCTTCATTCCACCACCCCACCCAACACCCCACCCCACCCACCACCCCTTCAAACAGACCAAGGGTCGACCAGAAAACTCCCGTTGGGGCCAAAAAAAAAGAGGCCGTTGGACCCCTTTGTGCTTGGACAACGAAGCGTGCCAAGTTTTGACCCACGTTTTCACGCAAAGCCAGACGTGTCCCAAGCTTTTGGGGGGTCTGCGATTGATGTCTTCAAAACCTTCCGCTTCAAAACCAATGCATTGATCCAAAAAAGGTCCGAGCCTGGAAGCCCTGTTCCGGGTTCCATGTAATTTGATGCTAGAGCAATTAAATGAATTTGTTGTTGAAGCGAATCACTGGTACAAAGCCCATGGGGGGATGCCCTATTTTCAGGCTACACGAACATCTGAAGAGCTGTGCGTTGCTCGGGGAACCTCCCAAATGGCCATGGGTCGAAAGCCAAACCGATTAGCCCCCAGCGAACATCCGGATCCCATTGGTTTGACCACCACAGCCAAATGATTTGGAGGTGCCTTGTTGGCCCTTCAAAACCATCCGAAAGGGGGGCAAAAGGCAAAAGGGCTTGGTGCCTGGGTGCCTGGGGGTGGGGGTTGTGGTGGAATGGGGGTGGAGTTGTGGTGACTTAAGGTGTGTTGAGGCTGGAGTTGGAGATTGTTTGTTGGGCTTGTCTCCAAATGGGACTTCTTAAGTTGCTTGCTGGAACCCTTTTTTGGAACCAAACGGCGCGGGTCCAGTCAACGAAATCCTCATTTTGCAGAGATCACACTGCCACCCCCCCCCCCCCCACCCATCCCACCCACCCCAGCGCCCCCACCCCAACCCACTGTTCGAACCTGGCATTCGGCATCTTTTCCGGGGGAGGCACGGGCTAAACGGGCCAAACACCAAACCCATGCAACCAAATCCGACGCCAAATCCCATTTGCTTATAAAAGCATTTAAGTCCCCACAAAACCAATCGCTGGACAGTGAAAAACACGGGATCCCTTTCACAGGGGGCTCGGTCGCTGAAAGTTGGGTGAAGGCCTTGCCACCGTTGATGATGTTCACGTTGATGGGGAAGTGCGCATAGACCAGGCGCATCTTGTATTCGAACTTCTTGGTCACACCCTGATGGGCGAAGTGTCAGGGCTGCGGGTGTGGGGTCAAATTTGGCTGGAGTCAACTTTTAGGCTCCCGACTAACAACCGAAAGGGCGGCCAAAATCCATTCGAGAAACTCCCGTGTATCTTACAGGGACGGTGGTGGTGGTGGTGGTGGTGGTGGTGGTGGTGGTGGTGGTGGTGGTGGTGGTGGTGGTGGTGGTGGTGGAGGTTGTGGTGCTTGGAAGTTGGCGAAGGGCATAAACGAGTTAGCTCCGAGTGGCCGGAAATGGTGGTGCTGCGCAGTAAAAAATCAAAATAGGGCACAGACGAGTTAGCACATAAGGGCACAGACGAGTTAGCCATCGAGGGCACAGCCGAAGACGCACCCCCCCAATCCCCCCCACTCCCCCATTCAACCCCTATTCAACGGTCCAACCCCATTCTCCTCCATGCAAGCCCTCGTTCACAGTCCATCTGCTTGCTTCAGCCAGTGTCCTCTGCTGAAAAGGTCAACGGCAACAAAGCCATGTCCTCCAAGTCAGGGCCGTTCGGTAGATAATTTTTCACCACCATGTCAATCAAAAATCACCCTCTGCTGACACCGATGCTCCTGATCGCTGTTTTCATGGACAAAACAGATGAATCCCATCTCCCAATCTGAACTTCGGATTTCGGAGGAGCGAAAATGAGTTCCCCCACTTGAGTGGGGGGTCCACGGAAAGCATGTTCCTCGTTCAAATCTGAAAACAGGACTTTGCCTAAGTCCTCTGGACAAACACCTAAGAACAAAAACCAATAGTGCTGGATTCCCTTTATAATAAAACTCGCAGGGCAAAAAATAAAAGGAACAAATCTGCTTCAGCAAACGGACAGGTTTCTTTGCCCCGAACACCACCTTCCGAACACTGCTTTGCCCCGAGCACCTGTAGACCCTCAACCGAGGTTAGACCCTCAGCCTTAGAGGTTAGACCCTATAAAGCCTAGATTCTAGACCCTAGAGCCTAGACCCTGCATTTCAGACTAGACCCTGGAGCCCAGACCCTTAGAGCCTAGAGCTACCTCGGAGCCAAGATTTGCTGAAATGGTGCTAAAAAAGAAAGATGTAGGGGGCCCGGCTGCCCGGCTCAACAAAAAAACCGCCGTGGAACTTGTGGTTCCAAGAATGAAAGTGGGGAAATCCTGGAAAATCAAAGTGCGCATCCTCCCCCCAAAAGTGCGCGTCTCTCGGGCACTTGCCTCGAAGAGGTTGGAGATGTGACTGCAAACCTGGGACACCGGAATGCTCGAGGCACCGGAAGTTGGAAGGGGCCTGGAAAGGCAGTGGAAGCGGGGTTTGGGGGTTTGGGGGTTTGGTGGTTTGGCTTGGTGGATTGGGGGTATGGGGGTTTGTTGGTAGTCAAAAACAATTGCTTCAGAATGAAGAGCAGTTTCCTAACTTGTGGTTTGGATTGGTGAATTGGTGGTTTGGGGGTAGTCAAAGCAACTGCTTCAGAACCAAGGTCAGAATCCAAACTTGTGGTTTGGATTGGTGGTTTGGATTGGTGAATCGGTGGTTAGGGGGTATTCCAAAATCATTGCTTCAGAACGAAGGGGCAGCTTCCTAACTGGTAGTTTGGATTGGTGGATTGGGGGTATGGGGGTCGGGGGCTTGTGGTTTGGGTAGCTTCCCTTTTACTTTCCACAAGATCCAGAGGTTCAAATCCCGGAACCATCAAATCAAACCACCAACTACGAGTTACCTGAAAGAGGTTGCGGGTTGACAAAAACGAGGTCGGGTCAACACAAAGATGCTTGGGCCGAACAAGACCTCCTGTTTACCACTAAAACCATCTTCCCCGAAAGTAGCTCAAAACCGAGAAAGTGAGGGGGAGGTCCACCAAGCACTTTTAATACTTACGATTCATAACAACAACCATCCACGGAAAACTGGAGAAGTGAGGAGCCCATCCCCATTCCACCCATTCGACCCGGTCGGGGACACGGCCGTGTTCAGCATGGAGCACTGCTTGCTCTTGGCGAAGTACATCCGCGCGATCACCTGGCAGAGGCGAGCCCTGTTGCTCACTTTCCACCGAGTGACTCGGCCGGAAAAAGTGTCTCTTGTTATTCTTACCACTAAGATGGTCTTCCAAACAAGAAGAACAATAGGAACTCGGGGATTGAGAAGTTACCCCCCTGGTAGGTAACCAGCCATCATCCCTTTTGGATTTCATGGGTGGCAGGCCCCGGGTGACCTACAAAACCCAGGAAATAATTTCCCTGCGGGAAATGGAATGAGTGGGAATGGCATGGCCTTAAAATTGACCTGAAGCATGCAGCAAGCGATAGGAAGTTGCCGTGTGATTGACATGCAGCAAAAGCCCACGGTCGCCGATTTGTGCACGCTACCTCTTTGCTGGCTGATTTTACAAGCGGTTTCGAACCCCGCTCCGACAGAACTGGGGTAGAATGGTCGGTCCCTCCCTCCGCCCCATTAGAGGCGTTTTGGGGCGGATGGCGTTCAGCCCGGAAAGAGTTGCCATCCTTAAAACGGGTTTCCAGTTTTGAAGGCTTCCCCAATTCTCTTTTGACCCAGGAGTTGATTCCCCATCCTTCTCGACCATCACAAAGCCGAATACCCCGCGGTTTTGGAATCGGATTTTGGGGTTCAGAATGCTTGGAAGTTACCAACTCCCAACCACCGAACCCGACGCAGTCGGGGTCCAGGCTAAACCAGCGACCGCACCACAACAAAATGGCGAACGTGTTTCCATGATGGTGTCCACTACCCCCAGACCAGTACCCCCCCGATTAAATTGGGGGAATTTGCCTCTATATAGTGGCTAGGCGGTGGCTGTACATCCCATGAAACCCCTGTAATGGTTTGGGGTTAGTGGAAACCATCTTGGAGGGTTGTGTCAAAGACCCAGTCCGCTCTTTTAGGTGGAAATTGGGCCCCTGACAAGGAACAAAAACAAGATGTTCTACCAACGTGGTTTGAGCATTGTCTGGGAAAGGCCAAAGGCCCCAAGCTCACCATGACGCTGGCCCACAAAGACAGCCCTACCAACACCGAATACACGGACAAATGCCCAGAAGGGTGATGTGAAAGAGCTTGCCAAGGACGGAACGAGAACCTCCCTGTCGCAGGCCAGTGACCAGGGGAGAGAAAAAAAAATAAATTTTAGCGGTTGAGTGGTGGGAGTTCAACCACTCAACCAAAATAAGCAAAAATGCAAAAGCCGTTTCCCAACAGCAACCATGAAGGGGCCCCCTCCACAAGGAAAGCATTCAAGATCCGGGCTGGCGACCGATATGTCACCCAAAACCCGGGCGAATCCGGCTCGCTGGCCTTCTTGCCGCCGTCTGCGAGCATCAGCTCGATGGGCAAGTGCTTGAAGTCTCGCTTGAGGCTGCCGTGCTTGCCGCTGACCTGCGTTTTGCGCCCTGGTGCCATGGTTTGTCAACTATGTTTAGAACCCAGGAAAACTTAAACCCCTGGCAGAGCCATTGGGGAGTGTCCATGTTGGGGATCTGTCACTTTTGGCTGTCGTTTTTGGTTTGGGGGGGAGACAATCCGCCCGGTTTATTTATCCGGGGTGTGCATGCAAAAGGATTCTATAGTAGTCTAAGTTTTATAAAGCGATCCACGAGCGGCCCTAGCAACCCCAAGCAAGGTCCTTTGACCGTGGCATATATATATATATATATTCGGGTGCGACGCCCTGAACATGTTTCCGAGTCAGAGTATCGTCAGGCACCTTTCAGGCAGGTACCCACCCCCCACGTACGAGCCTCCTAGAAAATTGTTTTTTGGGGAGAATCCTTGTTGGCTTTGAAGGGAAATCTAAAGTTACGAGCCTCCAGTATGATTTTGTCTCAGGAACTTGAAGATTGAGCTTAGCGTAGCGATGGTCAAAGGAAATGCTCTGGTTTACCAAGCATGCATCAGCCGGTTGGCCCGAAAGACGTGCAAGGCATTCCAAAAAGGGGCAAACTGCCCTCATGCGGAAGTAGGGGCAAGGGAACTCCGATACATAGTTTATAAACGATAAGGCTCCCTTGAGAAAAAAACACACCCATCACATGGCTCTCAGATTAGTATACGAAAAGTTCAGGGGATACGGGGTAGAAACCTTTTCACCTCCAACCAAAACTTGAGAAACCCACGGGGAAACCAAACAAATCGGAAGCCGCCTAATACAAAAAACCGGGTCGAGTCTCACCACCGGCCTCCACGATCTTGGACTTGATGGTGATCTTGCAGCCTCGATGCCCTAAACCTCCCACCCCCACGCTGTTCGGCGAATGCCAGGAGGAATCCGGACAAATTCCCCCCCCCCCCCTCACTTTTGTTGGAGAACACGAGCTTCTCTGAAAGAACAATGAGGTTATCTTGAAAGGACAGAACTGCTCCGGTAAGGGGTAATGAACTTAGCCTGGAGGCGTCCCTGGTATTTCTCAAAGGGCCAACTTGAACCTGAGATGTCGCCCAATGAGACTGATGCCTCTAAGCCACAGCTTATGACAGGGCAACCCGAACTCCGGAGGAATGGCCCTCTCAGAGACCAAAATGACGCCCGACCTGGCACCTCAGTGCGGTTCCGCGGACTGAAGAAATGGGCCAAGTGGCGCTGGCAACTTGTCGAGGGTCTGCTCATCTCGTGGGGCCCATCTCAAGGGAAGGGGGAGCCCAAGTTAGCTCAAGGAAAAGCCCACGTTGACCCAGGATTCAACCCCAGTTTAGTACTACTCGGGGTGGGGAACCCTCCAGTGCTGATTCCCCACCCCCAGAAACACCACCCCCCCCCCATTCATAAACCGGGGTTGACAAAAATCCGGCCGTCCACATCAGACTTACAAAGACCTCCTGAGCTCCGAAGACCACATCGCCATCCGGCAGTCGGACGTCCCTCACTCGCCCCAGGCGCCGGGCCCTTAGGCACCTTCACGGTCTCCTGGGCGGCTTGTTGTCCGAGAAAAGGCGCCGGCGCCGAGCAAGGGGGCGCGCCGAATGAAGGAGCAGCCAGAAGAAGTACGTTTTTTTGGTTCCCCCCTTTTTTAACAGAATATATAAAATTAAATATAATATATATATATATATATATTTCGGGTTTGGGGGGTGATCGGTTCTGTGGGCCAGTAGAACCCATCTTTTTCTATCCAAGCTAACCTGAACAAATAATTTCAGTCTTAAAAACAGTCCAAGTGAGTAAATGGAAACAATATGTTGAAGGGAAGCCGCTGGGGTGTCCCACCCATGTTCACGGGACATATAAAGTACGATCTGGAAAGTGGCTTCCCTGCCCTCTGCAAATGCACACCTTCCATTTGCAGACACGTCTTCTGCAGAAAAAGCAAGAAAAACAACGCGACAGCGGAGATGTCTGGAGGAAAAGTCCGGTGATAGATTCCCCTCTAAAACCAGGACATGACCAAAAAGCGTGGAGCAAGTGGGTTCGGAAGATGCATACGACCTGGGTTCCTTTCGGAAGGCTGTCAGCCTTCACTGCTTTGGATTTGGGGAGATTGAATTTTGCCGCGTGGGTTCACCACCCCGGAACCACTAAACCACCACTCCAATCCGGCAACTACAGGCAAACTGACATTGGGGAGGTGTCAAACGGGGGGGGGGAAAAAGACACGAGCGGCCCTCAGGCGACAGACCCGGCGTCTCCTCGGTCAGCAAAGTCCTCATGGCGACAGTCCTGACATCGGACAGCCAACCCTCACTGCGAAGCAGGGATGTTGATGATTGAACATCACCAAAGCAAAAATAATGTCCGGCATGCACATGTGTATATATATATATATGTATATATATATATGTATGTATATATCAAAGCTACATATATATGCGTACATGCATACTTGTACAATGATATATATATATATATATATGAGGTATATGTACGTATTTGTGACGAATATTCGGTAGAAGAGGATAAATGGGACAAATCTGGGTCTGCTGGGTGAAACTAACAATCATGCTGGATCCGCCGCTCCCCCCCCAATCAAAAAAAGGTAAGGAAGGCTGCGCCTGGCGATCAACATCAAGTAGGAAATAGAACTCCTCACCTGATCCAGGCACAAGCATCACCACTCCCGTCACCGCGTAAGCAAGTGATATTCATCTGGGTCCTCCAGTAGAGAGGTCCGAATAAGGGTACCAGCTTTTTTCTGTAGTCTATCTTAGTAGAGGAACCCTCCCCCAAAAACATGGTAAAGGGGCACTACTGGGGGACCTGGTCATTGTGTGCCATGCGGGCCCCGTGCTATCCCTTGATATTTTTGCTGCAGTAGATGACAGTAAATATTGAACGCTGCTACTTCCTTGCCGAGGCGACTTCTGACTTAGGTCAACACTTGCTAGCCCGGATGTGTCTCTCCTGTCTCCCTGAACAAAAAAACAATTGCACTTGCTTGACCCCTTTGGAAGTGACTGAGCTCTACTAACTTGAGTGGTCGTGGCAAAATCATAATTATGCTGCTACATAATTGGGTGTTGAATAGGGGGTCTTGAAGCTTAACAATTCACCCATCCCTTGTTTTCCCGTTTGGGGCACTTAAAAAATGTGGTGGCTACTTACCTGGTAATATTTGCCTAATCTTCAGTTCAACCCCACGTCTTCAACCTTCAACACTTGTTGACTAAAAATCGAAGGATTCCACTGAACTGGGGAATAAACAGTTCACCAAGCCGAAACCAGTCTGGTTCCTTCAATGTATCTCAATGTCCAACCAAACTGAAACAAGCACAAGGCCTCGAGCTTGTCTCCATAGGGAGAGCCTTATGTTGGCTTCGGTTCCCCCCTTTCTTGACTTGAAGCTAGAAAACCATGAACTACTGGCTCTTGAGGCATAATGTTGACCCCGCATGAATAAACCCGTCCTATTAGTAGGGGGGTCTCCCCCTCCCACACGTGGTGAATCCCCACACGGAGGGACACCCCCACTATGAATAAACTGGGATTGATTCACCTGGGGTTCCCATTAACATTGAACTACAAAGACCAAACAACACACCGCCTTTCCTTTCTCTTGGCGACATTCCGACTTGCCCAACGTCATTCGCTCATAAAGAACCAAAACCATCGCGCCTCGCACTTTCACCGCAGTTCCGGCGCGCGTGGCGTGTGAATATCCGCTGAGCCCAAGTTTCGGGAGAGCGCGCGTAGGATCATAAGTTGGAGCCCTCTTTCTTGGGTCCAGGGGTGCTACATACCTCTGTTACATACCCCTTGGACAAATGAACACAAAAGGCCCGCTGATGTTCATACCCCTCTCCCCAAAAGGGGCATATACCCCTTATAAGCGGGTTGGAAACCACGGAAGCCAAGGGGTATGAACACTTCCACCCTTAGATTGGGGGGAGCACGATCTATGTATATATATATACACGTATATGGGTCAATAGTTCCTTTAGGTATGCGTCGGGACCAAGATCGGTGCAAGGGGGGGGGGCTCTCGCAGGGGGAGGGGGGTAACTTGAATTGTACATGATGGACCCTTACAGCAATGTAGGAATCCCTTGCATCGTACTTTGTCCTGCATGCGAATGTCACAGCTTGACATCTTTGCTGCAGTGGCTTAACCCACATTCTCGCAGAGACTAGCTGCGCAACCATGAAATACACGTCAGTCTCCGCGCCTGTCATTCTGACTGCTTGAGTATATTTCACTGTATTGTTCTGTTCATCTTGGAATGCGTCAATCATTCAGTATTCTTTGAGCCCGTTTTTGCACTTTACAGGGGTCGGGGGGGGGATGGTTCCGTTCTTGCTCATGGAAAGCACATCTCACGAGTTCTGCATGTGCAATCATGGTACCTCTACGGAACGGCATTGCTTGCTAACTGAGTAAAAGGCTCGTCTTCTTACTGTTTTTTTCACATGTGGAGACTAAGATCAGTAGACGTGGTCCATCTGCATTCCTTCCAAAAAACAAATCATATTGTTTTTTGATGCAAATCACAATGGAATTGACCACATCCACCGATCTTGGTCCCGACGCATGGCTTCCTTTACATGGGACGACTATTGGGGAAACCACTGAAAAAGTTGTGTTTTCCACTATATGGGAACAGTTACCATGGTCATTTGGGGGCCAGGAATATTGATCAACCCCCATATAGATATATTTTTTTTAGGCACCCCCCCCAAAAAAAAGTGGGGTTCCCTTTGGTTTTCCTTGAGGTGTACCCTCCAATAAAGACACACCCTAAATATATGTACATGTCTATGTATATATATATATATAAATATATGGCCCAATTTTCACAGCTTCTTTCTTCCCCGGGGGCAACGCCAGGAATTGGCCAACCCCTTGGTTTCCCCCAAGGATCCTCTGAATTAGCCGAAAGAGATGTCCTTTCGCCATTGTTCGCCGTCCTTCCAGCGCCACTGAAAACCGTTGGACTCTGGGTCATGATCATTTCCCCTACAAGCGGGGCTCATCTAAAATCGGATCCTCGGGCCAGAGGTCGGGGGTTTGCATTTTAAAGTGCAGACGGTCCAGCCCTGAAACGTCAGTCCGGCAAACCCCGCTGTCCACAGAGGGCAAGTGGAAACCCGTGGAGACCAACTCTCCACCCTCCGGGTTCGACTCAAGGCCCGGAGCGAGCAACCCTGAACGGACGGAAGTGCGCGAACCATGTGGACCCCACTTCCATAGTTGTTTTTTGCTGGTGCTCAGGGACTGACCCGGGTCTTGGGGATTTCGGAGAACCAACAAATAATGGGCCTAGACTTTGTTTTTAATGCACATGACTCTTCTTTTAATCTCCACGTTGGCATGGAACCTGACGCTTCTGGGGTCCCGGTCCTTTTCCGGTTGGACGATGTTCCTTTACAAGGGACCGTTTTTCCGGTGGGTTCAACGTGGCAACGTGGACAGGAGAGTCATTTGGTCCTTTGGTCCAGTCATTTGGTCCTGAAGTACGCCGCATTCGAACTGTGTGGACCCGACTTACGCACGAGAAAACCGAGTCGAATGCGCTCAATGGGAGAACTCCCCGCGCCGCGAATGGGTGGGCTTTCTGGCGGTTTCCCTCACAGAAAGCCCTCAGGCAAGACACAGATCCCCATGTGTTCAACCCATAAAAAAACACTTCAAGAGGACAAGTCATCCAAAATCCGCAACCGAAAAGTGTGGCTATCATGACTATCATGTCCCCAATTGCCCAGATGACTCAATGCAAATTTGGTGCTGGAACTGGCACCGGTCCTTTTCAGGAGCACCAAGCCAGGCGCCGCGGGGAAAAGGCCAAGCTTTCAAGAGCGACCCATTGTTTGGAGATCCTTGCAAGGATTCCCTGGCACAGGTTCCCAAAGCAACCGAGCTTACCATGGCTCATATGGAACTGGGGGATTTCCAATGGTTGGTCTCTACAGGGGCTCTGGAGACCTCTGCAAATTAGGTGACTCCTCCATCGCAGTCTGACTTGTCGACTTCCTATACATGGCCTTGAAACAAGTGAAGCCGCCTTGAAACTGATGGAATCATAGGTGCCAAAAGGAACACATGAGCCTAGTAGATTGTTAAACAAACAGGTCCACCAGGATTCATTTTCGACCGACCCAAAGGACACCCATGGTTGCAATACCGTGGATGCCCTAAATAGTGGAAGGGGACCAAGGGAGACAATAATTTGCCCCCTTGTTTTTCCCGCAGCTTGCGTCAATTGATTCAGGTGTCCTTGGATGTTTTATGCACTCAAATGTTGAATTCTGATTGTCGTCGAAAATCATGAGCAATTCTGGGCAACGCCTGTGAAAATGGCCAACTTCAAGGGAGCTTCCTCTAAGACTCTAAGCAGGTGATGCATTTGGGTTCATCATCCTTGGCCTATTTGGGCTCTGGGTAGGTCAATTTTCTGAAGCCTTTCTTGGGTCCAGCTTGGGTTTCATGGTTTCGTACAAGTGAACAATACAAACCCAGCATCCAAAACGAGCAAGAGCTGGCGTCCGCTCGATCCCCAGCTGTCTTGCTGGGCCCTCTTACAGGTCGCCCCGTCAACTTGTTCTGCCAGCATTCCAACTCAAAAGTTTAGGTCACTTCTGAGTGGGATGGTCAGAACAAGTCCAGACGTTTGTTTGCCACCGGAATGATCAGCGCAAACAGTTTAAAGCCCAGAATTGGTCAAATAGGTTTAACAAATATGAGTTTGTCTCAAAATGGAGGAACCCCAACATGATTTCTCACCGGCTTGGCTTTCCATTAAACCACCCCGTTTTCAAAGAAAAAGACAAAGACAACTTATGTGGACATTCCGGAGTAAACCATAGATTCCACGAGCGGAAAGCCGCCCGCCTTTTTGCAACGGTCGCTGCGCGTGTCGAGGAAGACAACGGCTAGGGGTTTGAACGAGCCCACAGTCCCGCACGGAAGCTGAGCGCAACCCGCGGGAGGCCGAAAACAACCACGCGATGGACCAGATGCGGCGCGGCGTTCAGCAGCCAATATGTTCTGGGGCTTCGGCCATGTCAATTTGCCCATTGGCCCCATTGGTACTTGAAATGAGCGGACAGAACAAGTCATGTGGATGGACAAAATCCATTTCGCACCACCTAAGAGACCCTGAAATAATCATTCCCCTGTAAATACCAGCCAAAAGCGGTGTCCCATGGTTTCAAAGTGGTGCAGGATGTTGTTCACAGCTCTTTGGGATCGCTCAAGCTCAAGGCTCAGGTCTACTTCCTGTGAATGGGATCAGGGGGCACGCTAATATAAGTGGGCGTGTCTTTCTTTGAGGCGACCGTACTTCCCCTTTCGCGGTGGCTAGGGAAATCCAAAGGAAGGCCAGCGAGGGTCCCCCAGAAAAGACACGCCCAAATACGGTGAGACTCTGAGGGTTGAACGCACGTCAGCGAGTCTCTGCTGATGCAGAAGACAAGGACTCGTCCTCTGGGTCTTTGCTGGGTTGGTCAAACAGGCCCCATTGTTTCACCACCAAAGTCACCCCCAAAGTAGTAGGTTAAAGGCAAACCACCAAGCAGTTTCTGACTTTAATTGCCCACGGAGTCAAAAAACGACCCCAGTCAAACTGGCAACGATTGTTTCTTTCAGTGTCCCTCTAATGTATGGCTCGGATTGGAGGGTTTGGGGTTCGGGCCTCCATTGTGGTTTCCCTAAAACCCCATCCATACCATCTTGGGGTGCGAGAGCAAAACACCCATCTTCCCAAACCCACTTTGACGTAAAAATGGCGCCAATCCCCCGCCCCAACTTCAAAGTTGGAGAAACAAACTATGTTGACTTCAGATGTCACAGCGCTCCTTGACACCATTGAAGTTGGGGAGCTACGGGTATGTGTGGGGAAGATAGTTGGGTGACAGAAGATGGGTATCTTTTGCTCAGAACCCGGTGAGGGGCCCTCACTTGTCGGAAACACGCATATGTGCCATGTCTATGGTCATGGCCCCAAAGGAATCCCTGTCTCGAAATTCGGGCTGACGATTCTTACCAAGGTCTTAGGGGTCTTACGATTCCCCCAAGCGAACAGTCACCGGAACTTGGCTTGGACCCTTCTAGTGGTTGATCCGAATCCAGTTTAGTGCACGGGACGGACGAATACGGGCTAAATCTAGATCATCAGAAGCATGGTTCTCCCATGCCCAGGAGGTAAATTGATCACCTCGTCCTTTCATCCATCGGTTCTTTTCAAGCACCAAGCAATTCTATAGATGGGCGTGGCTCAACATTAAAGAGGTAGGGTTACACAGGTTTTTGTCCTTGGTTCCATTTACCAGGGTGCCATTTTGGTACATCTTTTTGACCCACAGCCAGATGTCCGGCAACCTTCTGAAAAGAAAGATCCTCGGCAAGATGTGGGAAGTACAGCTAGATTTCCAGTACCCCACACCCCGAATTCTAATGTATGATACGCACTCCGCCTGATTGAGCACGGCCCTTGCAAGAGGTTTATGCTTACATTCTGATTTTACTTCTGGAAGTGTGTGTTTTCCCAACTGGTGGGTGGACACAATCCTGCATCAGTTAGGATGGACAGAACCCTAGTGCAAATCGGATTTTGTCCATCAGTATCATTTTTTTAGAAGTTTACATTACGATGCAACCTCATTCTAATTGATTCTCTCGAATGCCCAGTGGCCATGGAAAACAAAGCCATCTTTTTTTGGGGTTGGTTGACTGTACAGGGGAAACCTTCAAAAAAAGGGAGAAAAAACGGGCAGAATCCACTGAGCAACCGGGTGATATTACGGGCCGACGGTCCCATGCCCATTTTCCGCGCGTTCGTTCCTTCGGCTGGGCAGGCCGATAGGCTGGCACTCCGTAGTCGCGTCACGAGACCTGCGAGTCAGGCTGCTAAGAATGACCCGGCTTTTGGGGCTGAATCCTCCGTTTGCTTCAGCCCCCCGGCAGGAAAAAAAGCTCCAGTAGTGATGTATATGTCCTTTGCAAACCCAAAAAATGGGGGAGAATATACAACATTATTTTCAAGTAAATGGAAGAATGGGTGAAGAAGGGACCTTTTGGTGGACACTATCTAGGTGGGGATTCGCGCCGGAACTTCGGTGACATTGCGAGCTTTGACAGCGAAGAAGGTCTTTGTAGTTCGCCCCAGGTTAATCAACCCCAGGGGGTGTGCCTGTGTGTGGGGATTGAAAAAACTTGTTGGCCCAAATCTGTCTAAAGTAATTCCACCCCAAACCAGCCCAGAACATGTTCAGGGGGGATCCCTTATGTAGTGACATGGAAACGATCTTAGAATCTGGGATACAGAATCACCCCAGCAGTTGCGACCAGTGGTAGAATCAAAGAAGGCTTCGTTTCATGGGGAAACCCAAGGTGAGATCTCAGGAGCTCCTGCCCTGTGAGCTTGACTTTCGGTCAAACAGTTCGAAACCCGAATACGAACCATTGGTTTAGGGTTCGGGTGTAGGGAAACCCCTTTTCACACCATTGGTTTCCCTCTCACGCCATTGGGTTTAGGATTTCCCTTAAACCCTCACACCGTTGGCTTCCCTCCTCAAAAGGGTGTAGCTTTGCAACTAAGACACAGCCGTGAAGGCCCGCGAAGAAGGCAGCGGGTGAAGACTCGCGGGAGTCAAAGCTCCCACCCTTGCCTCTAAGGCCCTACGTCCATGTTCATCCTTACCTCGGTTGCGAAATCCGCTGCTGAAAGTGAATAACTTTTGATGGTTTAATTCGGGAAACCCATTAGTTGGCAAAAAGTTAAAGTCCTAACGTCCCTTGGCAAACTGCGCCAAAGTTACGGCTTTGGCTCAGCCCACCGCAAGTCCCATGGCCAAAGAAACTGCGCGCCCGGTTTCTGGGGTGCTCGATCTCACTTGCCAGGGAAACCAAAAGGATTCGCGCAGGTCGCCTTGGGTCAAAACCATCCAAGAAAGGGGCCCCCTATTTTGAGACGCGCCCTGAGTGTGAAACTGCCTTCCTGAGCGGAAAGTCGCCCAAAAAAAAGCAGCCTGAACTTTGGACTTACCATCAACATGGTCCAAACCCACAAAGCATACAGAGGAACTCAGGTGAGTAAAGGGGTGTATCCCCAAAAAGGAAAATATGGGTTCCGCGTGGTCTGGGCATCCCCAGCCTTAGCGCCAGTACTGGTCCTGCTTCCTGAGGCTGGCGGCTGGCGCGAGGGTTCTGGGAGGTCCGCCAATTCAAAAATCCAGCGCTCGAATCCGAACTATGGTTTTTTTTTTGGGGGGGGGATTCGGGATTCACAGAAAATGTTCAAGAGCTCGGTTGCCAAAGAAGTTCTATGGGGTTTGGCGCTCACAGAAAACTGGCAGTGAGGCCTAGAAGACGACTTTCTTGGAAAGCGGCCCCATTGGGAGATTTCCCCAAAAATTGCAAGGGCTTCCCTGTTCCTAAAGGGTCGAAGTCCACCATTTTGAGGAATCAGAAGGTCAATCTTTCATTTGGCCATCGCATCAGAACAAGGAAAAATTCCCAAGTTTAACTTGCTCCTCGTGCACGATTGTCGACCCCGGATGTGTCAACCTGGTGAAGATCCAACACTCAAAATCAAGGGCTTCCCGCCAAATCGGTCACAGTCTCTGCTTTGGTACTAATATGGAACCTCACTAAGGGGTCGTGGCATCTGGCGAACAGGAGGGTATCCCGCTCTCACCACACATCAATCCCTCAACCCCTCCCACAAACATGGCATCAAGCTGGCCCAATGGATCTTCCAACCGATGCGATCTATCAATGTTTATCCGAACTGAGCCCAATCCGATCGCCAGGGCGCGTAATATGCAAGATCTCGTCCATGGTTTGCTTCACCTGGTCAAGTTCCGCTCCGCACAAGAAAATCCGCGCAGCTTGGCCCTCCGGGACAACAGCAACAAGAACAAGA